AGGTGCGGTTTGTCTCGGTGAGCCAGTTCGGCGCGGGCGCGTTCTTGAACGCGATCCCGACCCGCGCGCACTTCCGTCTGCCCTCGTACGTGCTGCGCTTCGCGCTGCAGCGCCGCTTCGGATTGCACCTGTCGATGATGACGGACGTCATGGCGGACGGCATCTACAGCCAGCACGGTCTGCCCTTTGACGCCCTCGGCGACGTGGCGCAGAACGACGGCGCGGCGGGCCACCAGACGCGGCACAAGGAGGTCCTCCTGGACCTGGTCGAGCTGCTGCGGGGCAAGCTTGGGCACGGCGCGGTGGAGCACGAGTTTCACTGCAAGCACAGCACTACGAGGACGGACCTGTACATTTACCAGGGCGTGATAGGGGACCTGCCCTGCATCGGCGACACGAAGATCTTTGCCAGTGTGCCGTCGGACCCCTCGGGGGCGGGGCGCATGGGGGCGTTCGTCGCTTGCGGCAACACGCTGCCACGCGCCCGCGAGACGGTTTTGGGCGTGGAGGGCGGGGACAGGGGCGGGAGGGTGGGGAGGTGGGACCCGCGGACGGGGTCCGGGACGGTCGAGGCCGTCAAGGGCCAGTACGCGGACGCAGAGGGGAAGTGCCGTGTGGAGGCGCTGCTCTTCGAGGAGTTCGGCGCGATGAGCGCGTGGGTGGAGGAGCTGCTGAGGCGGGTGGCTGAGGTGGCGGGCCGGAAGCTCACATGGTGGCAGTACGACCAGACGTCGTGGTCGGCGCGCGAATGGATGCCGTTTGCGCTGCAGCGACTGTCGGTGCAGCTCTGGGTGGCGCTCGCGGACGAGGCACAGCGCGCCATTGGTGCGGCGTCACGCGGCCGCGAGGGACCGCGGGGGAATGCTAGTGGGATGGGGGGCTCTGAGGGGAAGGGAGCGGGGGGCGCCCAGTAGGGCGCCGGCACCCCAGCGTAGAGGGCGATTGATTGATTGATGGGAAGGCGAAACACAGTCCGACCAACGACTGGGACACCTTAGAGGGCGTCGTGTAGCCCTCCTTTTGAAAAAAACAATAAAAAAGAATCTTACAACAAAACTCCCTCGCACAACACTGGGCACGGGACTGGCGCGCACTGGCACGAACACAGGTACACCATGATCTCCTGCCCCGTGCGTGCCTTGCCGCCCTCTCGTAAATGGTTGAGGGTCACCATCTTGGCGAGGGCGAGAAAAGCGATGCCGAGGGCGCAGTTGCGGTTGGACATGTTGTCTCGCTGGTACTTCATCGCGTGGTAAAGCATGTGGTAGTACTCTCGCCTCGCACACTTCGGCGGTCGGCGGAGGCGGACGGTGTTAACCGCGGCGAGGAGTCGGGGATCATCGGCCCAAGGGCGGAGCCACTCGTAGTCGTAGTTGATGCCCGGGCTCGATATGTGGTATCTCGACCCGCGGTCGCGGAAGGCAAAAAAGAAATCTGCCGTGGCGCAAACCTGTGTCTCCCTGTGCACTCGGCTGCCTTTCGATGCGCCTACTTCTGCTCGGGCTTGCGGGGCTCACTCTCATCGAGGGCGACGCCCTCGGCTCGGACTCGGTCATGCACGCCAGCATCGACTCTCCGCCGCCGCCGTCGCTGCCTCCGTCCTCTCAGCCGCCGCCGTCGCTGCCGCCATCGCCGCCTTCGCCGCCTCCCATCCAACCGCCGCCGCTCCTCCCTGGTGGCTACGTCGTTCCCTCGCCGCCAGGAGTACAGGTTCATCGTCAAGATGACCGCGAAGTCGGGCCGCCGTTTCTACCGACTCCCCGAGAGACGGCATTCGCATCAGCGCCCAGCGACGACTACCCCGCGGGTTTTCTTGCCCCAACCGACGAGCATATGCACGTCCTAAGGGAGGAGCATCAGGCCATGCTCGCTACGATTGACTTTTTTCTGGGCGCGGCGGAACCGGCTGACAGTTCCATTGATTGGAGACACCATGAACCCCCCGTGCTGACGCCGGTGAAGCACCAGCCTGGGGGCACCTGCTGGGCTTTCGTCGCGACGCAACAGGTCGAATCGCTGGCTGTGATCCAGCTCGGGAAGCCCCTGACAGAGCTGAGCACGCATCAGGCGTGGTCGTGTGCAAGGGCGTATAACGTGACACGTGGCACTCCTATAGAGTGCTACTTGCAGAATGCGTGGTACCTGGGGCCGTGCTATCAAGACGGTTGGTTTTGCAAATGCATCCCCACCGGAGACTCGACCGACGCAAATCCAGCGGTGGCGTGGGGCTATATGCAGCATGTGGGCGGCCTGGCAACCGAATCGGACAATCCCAAGGATGACAGCGACAAAAGCTGCACGGTACCGACGAAGCCATTTGTAACCGTGGCAAACCTCCCAAAAACGCGGTGGGGTCACACCGTCATCCAGCCCTCGACGCCGTGTCCTTGGACGTTTAAGCTTTTCTACAACTACGCGCAATGCCACAGTAACGCCGAAAAGCAGCTTCGCGCTGCGATCCAGTACTCCCCTGTCGCCATTTCTATGTCTACTCACAACATCAGGAAGGCGAACCGGCCAAGCGGGGACAGGTCGCAGCGGTACCCAGTGCGATATATCCTCAACCAGAGCGATTGCGTTAAACAAGCGCCGAATCACGTGCTCCAGCTGGTAGGTTACGATGCCCCAGCGCAGCTCTGGATCGTTCGAAATTCCTGGGGCGACGGTTGGGCGGATAACGGCTTTTTCTATGTTCAGGCTGGCGCCCCGGATTGCGGCCTGGCTCAACTCACGTTTAACACAAAGGTGGAGAACGCCCAGTAGGAATACTGTTAGGGCGGACATCGTCGACAAGTTGTTTTGTAATTCGCTGTAACTCCTATTTCCCCCTGTCCCTACCAATGCTTGCCCTATGGCAGATTACCGTCGCCCTTCGTAGTATTTCTTGTGGGTAATTTTTGGAAAACACTGGAATAGACATGTCCCTATCCTGGGATCACTTCAGATTTTCGGCGTTGGAGGTTGGACCTGTGAGCTGTGTTTTTCATATCGAAGTCCACTTTCTGGAGAAAGCACAGATTTTCAGATGAGAGATGATTTTAAAATTATTAATGTATAATGATAATCTGATTTAAATGTGTTTGATGAGTTCATTATTGTCAGTGCGGGGAGCAACTTTCCAAGTAGTGCAGATATTGAGTTAGCCGATGTCCCAACCCAAGGGAGGGATGGGAGCACATTGAGTTAGCCGCGATTATCGGCCAAAATTCTTTTCTGTGCGAGAGCCGAGTTGTGAAATTCTTTTCTGAAACCCAAAGGGCGCCATGCTCTCCTCCACGGCCCAGTCCGGCGGCCTTCTCCCCTGGCTGATTCAGGCGGGGCTCACATTCCGCGCCGGCCCGGATCCAGACGGGTTCCAGGCCGCCATTGTCGGCATCGGCAATGACGCAGGAGACCTCGACAGCCTCGCGGCGTCGATTGCCATCGCGGACTGGCAGCCAGTGGGAGGCTGCGGCGGTCGGCCGCTCTGGGTGCCGATCGCGCCGTTTCCGCGCTCCGACTTTCGTCTGCGCCAGGATGCGTGCCTCCTATTCAAGCACATTGGCTTCTCATTCGACGGAGCGGGTGCGCCAGAGGCGCTGCTGCACCTCGACGATGTGGACGCCGCGACCGCCCGCCGCTGGAGCGACGCCGGCGGGCTGGGCCTGGCGCTCGTGGACCACAACGCGTGCGTCCCAGGCGTGCGCTCGCTCCTCGGCGATCGCGTCGTCGCCATTGTCGACCACCACTCCGACGAGCAAAAGCACACGGCCGGCGGCGGCGGCGGCGGCGGCTTGGCCGGCGACGCGCTGGGCGCCATGCTCATCGGCTCGCCGCTGCGCCTCATCCGGCCGGCCGTCGGCTCGACATGCTCCCTCCTCGCCGCGCTCCTGGACGAGCTTCCCGCCGGCTACCCGCTTGAGCGGGCGAGATGCGCCGAGATAAGCCGAGATAGAGGGCCGCGGCCGGAGCAGGCGATGCTCTTGCCCACGAGCTGTTCGGGTACGGCAACTCGAAGGCGCCGTGGCCGAAGAGCGGAGCGAGTATCTGGAAGAAGCCACGCTCGCTGCCGCCGCCGGGCGTCGACCTGTCGAGGAACCTCTCGGCCGCCTCGACAAAGCAGGCGCAGAACGCAGCCGGCGCCACCTCCTCGAGCAAGCGCAGGCCGAGGCCGCGCATCCGCGCAGGCAGGCGAGCCCGCCGCGCGGTGATGGCGTCGCCGAGCACGCCCTCGTAGCCGCACGCCTCAGCGGCACGGTTGAGCGCAGCGTCGACGACGCGAGCGTGGGACACCGTCTGGTCGGGAGGGAGGTGCCGGAGGATGAAGTCGAACTTGGCAGAGCAGGAGTAGTAGATGGCGGCCCACAGCGCGTGGGGGCTCGCAGCACGTAGCGAAAGAACCGTCTTCTCGATGTACCTCTCGATACTCTGCTCACCTGGGCGCGTAACCACGCATCCACAAACCCTGCCTCCCCCATTGGGCAGCCCGCGACCATCACGCCTCGGTACGCGCGCGACCCGCCATCCTCCTCCGGCACCAGCACCATGCCGACTGGCGCGCCCAACGCCTCCCGCCACGGGCAGTGCGAGAGGTTGTACTCGGGAGAGAAGCACTCGAGCTTCGAGACCTGCATCTCGAGGTTGAGCGACGCCTTGACCGCCTCGCCAAAGCGCTTGACCGCCGGGAAGACGGCGGCCGCCGGTCCTAGTCGGAGAAGCCGGTGAACGAATCTTCGGAGAGGATGGGGCAGTCATCACTGCCGCGCTCACTGGGTTCGAGAGATTGTGCGAGAGATTGTGGGAGAGAGCTTGCGTCGGAGTCGTTCTGTGGTAGGGATGAGAGTGGTCTGACCGTGGAGAATCCTGGTCGAGGCCCTCTGTACAGCCGCGCACGCCCCCGCTCAGAGCGCCCCATCGCGAACCGTCTGCGCAGATCTGGGACGCCGCCTCCTTCGACCACGAGTCCGACAGCGCAGTGGTCGAACTTGCAAAGATTCCCGATGAGCAAGCGCTGGTGCGCCCAAATTCGAACGCAGCAGTTGTGGATGCATCGCCGCTCAGCTTCAAAAATCCCGTTCCCGACCGCTGCACCGCCCCAGGAGAACCGCTGCCTTTGGAAGCACATCCTTCCGGTCAAGATCAAGCGCAAGGTCAGCCTTCTCCTGGACGAGGGCCTTCTCTCGTGGCAGGACGTCCTCGAGGTTCGGCAGGGCGACGCAACTCCCCGCCCGCGCCGTGCGCGCTCCTCACCAGCTCGTGGCGATGTGACGCGCTCAGGACGGCAACGTCTTCTGGGAGATTGCGTCCACCGACACCCCCGACTGGCCGGAGCCGGAGCGGTGGTACCAGGCAGCTCTACCCCGCCATCGCCCGTTCGTTGGGCCCTCGCTGTTTCCACGCCAACCTCGACTCTCGCCGCGCGCCCCCTCCCGCCTCGAGCTCTCCTCCGCTGCGCCCTCACGCTACCCTCACGCTCACTCCGCCACGCCGCAGACCGTCTGCAACTTCTTCCAGCTCCTCGCGGCGCGCCTTCCCCGACGAGCCGGAGGAGGCGCGCGCGGCGATGGCCGTCAGGGCGAAGACGCTCTCCGACTACGAGGAGGAGCGCAATCGGCAGGCACGCGTCTCGATTTCTGTGCCCACGCACTCTCCCACCCGTGGCAAGCCAAGACGACCGCCCGAGCACAGCGCACCGCGCAGCCTCGCCCTCACCATTCGCAAACACACATCACACCCTCACCATTCCCAGGCAGGCACCTGTCGCCTTCTCCGCAAAGGGTCCCAACCTTTGCTCGGCTCCCAACCTTTGCTCGTCCCAACCTTTGCTCGTCCCAACCTTTGCTCGTCCCAACCTTTGCTCGTCCCAACCTTGCTCGGCTCGCCGAAACTTTGCCCAGACGAGATTGCAGGTGCCTTTGCCATGGTTGCCTCTCGCCTCGCCCCTCGCCCGGCGCGACGCAGCGCGAGATGAGAGCTGCCCCCGCGCGGGCCCTCTCGCCTCGCCCCACAACCACCACTGCAGCGAGCCCGTGCCCGGCTGCACGCCGTGCTGCGACCGCCGCCGCGCGAGCGGCTCGCTCCGAGGATCGAGGCGAATCTGGCACAATCGGATTGCCGGTCTGAGCGCTGCTGAGCGCGCGGCCGCGGGTCGCCTTCATGCCTAATGCGCCCCCGCGACCCCCAAAACGAGCCCGCGCTATGCTCGTCCCATCTTATGCTGCTGACGCTCGCTCGCTGCCGCCTGCGCCCTCGCAGATCTAAAACAACGTGGGCGAGGCGGGTGTGCCGCGGTTTCCTTGGCGCCGGGCCTCAAGCTGCGTGCGCTGCGAGTAGGTGCGGCCCTCTTGAGCCCCCCTTCCACTCAATTCCCCCCCTCAAAGACGCTCTCAAAGCAGAGAGAAGCAGCACTGGTGCCCGGAACACGATGTGCAGCAATCAGAGCAGGAGATTAGCCGAGATTGGCGAGATTGAGCCGAGATTTCGTCATTTAACATAATTGACGGAACTTTGAACGAAATTCGTGGAAATGCTCTGGGGCATCATTGCGCCCCGAGTTGACTAAATTGACGAGATCCCCGAGATTTCGTCAATTAGCTTAATGAATGCCCCGAGATTGCCCGAGATCGCTTCCGAGACCGGTATGGCACTTCCGCACCTCTCTGTGGAGGCGCTCTATCGCTCGTTCCGATGCGCCACCCGAGATTGCCCGAGATTGTCATCCAGTTTCGTCAATTAGCTAATTAATTGCCCGAGATTGCCCGAGAAGACCGGTATGGCACTTCCGCACCTCTCTGTGGAGGCGCTCTATCGCTCGTTCCGATGCGCCACCCGAGATTGCCCGAGATTGTCATCCAGTTTCGTCCATTAACTAATTAATTGCCCGAGATTGCCCGAGATCGCTTCCGAGACCGGTATGGCACTTCCGCACCTCTTTGTGGAGGCGCTCTATCGCTCGTTCCGATGCGCCACCCGAGATTGCCCGAGATTGTCATCCAGTTTCGTCCATTAACTAATTAATTGCCCGAGATTGCCCGAGATCGCTTCCGAGACCGGTATGGCACTTCCGCACCTCTTTCTGGAGGCGCTCTATCGCTCGTTCTGATGCGCCACCCGAGATTGCCCGAGATTGTCATCCAGTTTCGTCCATTAACTAATTAATTGCCCGAGATTGCCCGAGATCGCTTCCGAGACCGGTATGGCACTTCCGCACCTCTTTCTGGAGGCGCTCTTTCGCTCGTTCTGATGCGCCACCCGAGATTGCCCGAGATTGTCCCCATCAAGTTTCGTCAATGAGCTTAATTAATTTTAATTGACGAAATTTGACCTTAATTTGCCCCCCCCCCCCTCCCCGCCCGTGAATATCACACACCCGCCACCCACCGCCCCCTACCATAGGTACGAGTGAACTCGATCAACAACATGTCAGAGAACAAGACGGAAGTGAAGGCCCGCATCGTGTCACGGGGTACACAAAGGATCACGAGCAGCGAGCGCTGACGGTGGTGCCGCCGCCGGGGCCTTCGACGGGCTCCAAGTTCTTGGAGTGGGTGACCAAAGGTACCATCGATTCAGACAAAGTGTTCATGTCAGTCGTTGCGTTTGGGCGCGCGCTGAAATTTGCCTCGAAGAAAATTGTGCAGCGTTTCCCGGCTGCCGCGGGGAAGCTCATCACGGGGTTGGCCTTTCTCGAAGTGGAGAGCATGATGACGGGACCAGGGATGGCTATCTGCGCCGTGATCGGCCTGGTTTTGGTGAATTTTGCGGGTGGAAAATCTCCAGAGGAAGAGTACGCCAAAATGCTTGAGAAAGCCACGAACTACATCGTTAATGAGATGAGGGCTGACTTCAAACAGCTGGCGGACTGGATGCATGGGCAAGATATCGATCAAAAAATGCAAGAGGTGATGGACATGAGATTTGATTGAGATGCAGATGAGCTCGCCAGCTCGCGCATGTGTTTGGTCGATCGGCCGTCCTCTTCACACATCTCATTGAGATTGTTATTCAAATTCCATGTTCACAGCAATTATCTCCCTTTTTTTTTCACCACCTGAGATCCCGAATCTCTGCCCTGCAATTATGAATGACCCCAACTGCCCTGCCCTGCCTGCCGTACTGTGCCCTGCCCGCACACTGCCGCACACCTGCCCTGCCCGATCCCCTACCTGCCCCGGGTGTGAAACCCACACTGCCCTGCCCGGCCCAAAGCACACTGCCGGGCAGGGCAGGTGTGAATAACTGGCCGCTCTCGGAGAAACTTGTACACGGTACTTTTAGAGCCCGCGCGTGTATAAAGTATGACAGTGTCTGACTATAAGCCGTACTTTATAGACGGGTTCTAAGGCAAGTGTATTCTTTTTTTGCTTGGGCGGCCCTGATGCCGGGGTAGGTAGGTAGGGTCTGGGCCCTCCCGTCGGGTTTTTCCCTCTTCCACGCTGGAATTTTCACAGCATAAAAAGAAATTTTCCCACGGAAATCACGATGTCAACCCTCCCCAAATGGGTGATCTGATGCTTGTAGGGCTTGAGAGTGGCCTGCCATGTCACAAGAAGGACTGTGGTTGCAGGAGAGTACCACCAACCATCACTCTAGTTGGTATAGTACCCCACCTTCACCCCTCCCATGATTTCTTTTTTAGTTTCCCATAAGTAAGGTAGGTAGGTAGGTAGGTAGGTAGGGGCACCGCAGGGGCCGGTCAGGTTTTTCCAGAATTTCAGCATCAGGGCCGCCCAAGCAAAAAAAGAATACACTTGTCTAAGGCGAGGATTAACGCCCGCAGTATCGATCTCCGCCGCGTTGTATCGCGGCAAAATACGCATACCCGGAGTCCAGACGTCAAGGACAACCCATCCGGGGACGCACTAAAAAGAGACTGGGGTTCACCGCCTCATGGCGCCGTGAGAGGGCTGGCCGCGGTGGAGACCGCCGGCGTGCCCTCCGCGGCAGCTGCAAAGGTCGCGTGCACCACCGGCAGCGGAGGCTCCTCCTCGTCGTCGCTTGCCTCCTCGACGCTCGCAGCGCTGCTCGGCCCACCCGCGCCGGCGGCGCGCTGCCGCTTCCGCGCGGCAGCCTGGCCGCCCGTCTTGACGCGCTGCCTCTTCTTCTTGGGCGGCGCCGCGGCGGAGGCGAGCACCGGCGGCGTCTCGCTCGGCGCGGGCGAGTCGCGCAAGACAGTGACGTGCCACGCCGCCGCCACGATCGCCTTGTGCAGCCTGGCCGCCTGCAGGGGAGGGGGGGGGAGATATGGGGAGATATGGGGAGAGGAGGGGAGATATCAGCCTGGAGAGGAGGGGGGGGGGGGCACTGAGCGACACGGCAGTGTACGGAGACCGCAACCGGCAGCGAACGAGTGCCACGACGCGACGCCGTGCTCTCCCGCCCTGACGCCGGGCTGCTCCTCTGCTGCTCCTCTGTGCTGCTCTGTGCTGCTCTGCTGCTCTGTGCTGCTCTGGGGAGGTGGGGTCCAGCTCACTGCGGGGATCGCTTCGGGGAGCGCCTGCAATGCGCTCACGCCGGAGAGCCCGCCGAGCTCGTCCACCGAAGCCCAGCGCCACCGCGCCCCGAGCGCGCCCCTCGCCGCCCGCAGCGTCTTTTTGCCGACGCCCTTGAGGTCGGGCAGCGCGTCCTCCGCCTACAGAGCGGTGGAGGCGCGCACCTCGGGGCGGGAAGGACGGCCTTGTGCGGAGTCTGCAGAGCACCGCGTGAGTACGAGGGGTACGACTCCGATGAATACAGGGGAGACACTCTCCTCTCGAGCGCTAGTTGGACGTAGCCAGCGTCTAGCCTCCTCCGCCTCGGCCTCGGCCGGCGACGCCTCATCTCCCCGCCGCCGCCTCCGCCCGGCCCCGCCGCCGCCGCCGCCCTTCCCTCCTCCGCGAGCGCGACCGCCACGGCTGCCGTGGCTCTGGCCGCCGCGGCCACGCCCGCCGCGCCCCCCGCCTCCCCTCCCCACGCCCTCTCCGCCGCCCTCTCCGCCGCCCTCTCCGCCGCCCTCTCCGTCGCCCTCGTACGACGCGCCATCACCCGACGCCGCGCCGTCTTCGCCGTCCGAGTCTGCCGAATCTCCCGAGTCTGCCGAGTCTCCCCCGCCGCTCGACTCGGAGCCAGACCCGTCGGCCTTGCCGCGGCTGCTCGGCCCCACGTAGTCCTCGTCCTCCTCCTCGTCGTCGTCGCCGAGCACCCCTCCGGCGGCGCCCGCCCCGAGCGCCTCCAGCCGCGCAGCCTCCGCTCGTATGGCGTCCCGGCTCGCGCGCGCGGCCGTGCGGGGGCGGCGGCGGCGGCGGCGCCCGGGGCGCCCGCGGTCGTGGGGGGGATCGGCTGCGACGTCGAGGAGGTAGCGCGAGGACTTCGTGGGGCCGAGCAGCCGCGGAAAGGCCCTCGCTCTCCTCCCCGCCGCTGCCGCTGCCGCTGCCGCTGCCGCTGCCGGAGCGAGCCGCGCCGCCCGCCGCGGATCCGCCGTCGTACGACTCGTCGTCGTCCGACATGCCTTCGAGCCACTCGTCGAGCGCCTCGTCGCGCGCCTCCCACTCGACGTCGAGCGCCGCGCGCCGCTTGCTGCCCGGCGCGAGGATCAGCGACGCGTCCGGCTTGTCGCTCCTCTCGAGCTCGCTCTGCGCCGCCGCAGCCTCCTGCTTGGCCGCGCGGAGCGAGAGCGCCTTTTCGTGCTCGCCGATCCGCTCCAGGAAGCGGGTCACCTCCCGCTTGGGCATGAGCAGCGGCGGCATCTGGCCCATCTGCTCCTTGTCGAGCGCGCCTTATTCACACCTTGTTATTCACACCTTGTTATTCACACCTGTTATTCACACTCCTTGTCGAGCGCGCCGTCGCGCTGCACCACCACCGCACTGTGCAGGTCCGGGTCTGTTGCCTACGTGCTGAAGGCACCAACCTCGGGGCGGGAGGGCGGTCTTGTGCGGCGCATTCATAGCACTGTGCGGACACGAGCGGGGCCACGAATACAGTGCATGCAGTCCAGTACGGTCGAGGACGGCGGACCACCACCACCTCTCGAGTGCTGCTTGGAATACAGGACTCCGTGGTCGGCTTCTAGCGCCCGCTGCCGGCGCGGGGGCCACAAACACCACCGCCCGCAGCAGCAGCTCGTCCGACGGCAGCCCCTTGCCGTCCGCGTCGACCAGCCGCGCCTGCACGAGCGCCCGCTCCCCTTCGCGCAGCACCAGCACGCCCTCGGGCCGGAGCGCCTATGCGGCACGTCTCGGACATGTCGTGGACGTGTCCGGGACAGCACCAGCACGCCCTCGGGCCGGACGCGCCCGCACTGCCCACTCTGCGTGGCCTCTCGGGCGCAAGCCCCACAGCGGAAGGGCGGCCGCGAGGCCGGCGGCGCAAGCGACCGACACGCGCACCACGCCACCCGACGCGGCGACGACGGACCCAAACGGCACAAACCGGTCGAACGCGCCCTTGGCGGCGCCCGCCTAGTGGCGACGTCGTCACGGGCGGAGTGGTCGGGATGTCGCGCGTGGTCCACGCAGCGCGGCTTGGTGGTGGGGGCGATGGCGGTGGCGGGGACGGCGGAGGGGGTGAGGGAACGGGCGGCGACGGGGGAGGCGGGCTCGGTGGGGGCGGAGACGGGGGAAGTGGGCGTGGCGGCAGCGGGCTTGGTGGTGGCGGCGATGGCGGTGGCAGGCTTGGTAGTGGCTGTGATGGTGCGGGGCGGCCCTCTCCTCCTCCGCGTCCGAGTCGTCTGGGTCGGACTCGCTCAGCCTGGAGTACGAGACGCGCGCCTTCTAGGAGCCTTCTAGGAACCTTCTACTAGGAACCTTCTAGGAACCTTCTAGGAACCTGGAGTACGAGACGCGCGCCTTCTAGGAACCTTCCTACTAGGAACCTTCTAGGAACCTTCTAGGAACCTGGAGTACGAGACGCGCGCCTTCTAGGAACCTTCTACTAGGAACCCTCTAGGAACCTTCTAGGAACCTGGAGTACGAGACGCGCGCCTTCTAGGAACCTTCTACTAGGAACCCTCTAGGAACCTTCTAGGAACCTGGAGTACGAGACGCGCGCCTTCTAGGAGCCTTCTAGGAACCTTCTACTAGGAACCCTCTAGGAACCTTCTAGGAACCTGGAGTACGAGACGCGCGCCTTCTAGGAACCTTCCTACTAGGAACCTTCTAGGAACCTTCTAGGAACCTGGAGTACGAGACGCGCGCCTTCTAGGAACCTTCTACTAGGAACCCTCTAGGAACCTTCTAGGAACCTGGAGTACGAGACGCGCGCCTTCTAGGAACCTTCTACTAGGAACCCTCTAGGAACCTTCTAGGAACCTGGAGTACGAGACGCGCGCCTTCTAGGAACCTTCTAGGAACCTTCTACTAGGAACCCTCTAGGAACCTTCTAGGAACCTGGAGTACGAGACGCGCGCCCGCCCGCCGCGGCCCCACCGGTTCTCCCACGCCCACTCGGGAAGCGGCGCGCCCGCCCCTCCAACCTAGAAGGTTCCTAGAAGGTTCCTAGAAGGCTCCTAGAAGGTTCCTAGAAGGCGCCCGCCCCTCCAACCTCGCGCAGCAGCGCCGTCACCCGCGGGTGGTCGCGCAAGTGGTTGCGGTCGGCAAGAGCGAAGAGCAACGCGCTCTGCGCCTCACGGGGACAGCTCGCGCCGCCGCCGCCGCCGCCGCCGCCTCCGCCGCCGCCGCCGCCGCCGCCTCCGCCGCCGCCGCCGCCGCCGCCGCCGCCGCCGCCGCCGCCGCCGCCGCCGCCGCCGCCGCCGCCGCCGGACAGCCCGGCCAGCCCGGCCAGCAGCGCGGCGTCGATACCGCGCAGCCGCTTGAAATCGACCGCCTGTGGGGTACGGGTGCCGAGAGGTAGCGCCGAAATCGAGCCGCGATCTAGCCGACATGGGGCCGCCTGCCGTGGCGGTGTGCAGTGCCGAGAAGTCCGCCGCGATCTGCCGAGATCTAGCCGAGATCTAGCCGAGCTCGAGCCGAGATCTAGCCGAGCTCAGCCGAGCCTCGTCGAAGCGGCGAATGGCGTCGCTCAGCGCGCCCTCCCACGGGTGGGCCCCCGCGTCTACTGGGCGTGTCCATGGCGTGTCGTGGACGTGTCCTGCACATGCGCCCTCCCACGGGGAGTCGCGTGTTGCAGCCGCACCCGCGCCAGCCTCGCCCTCGCCCTCGCCCGCGCATGCCTCGCCCGCGCATGCCTCGCCCTCGCCCGCCTGCTCGGCCTCGCCGGTCGGCTCGGCCGCGGCGGCGGAGGGAGGCAGGTTGGCGCTGCTCTCGCCGAAGATGGTGTTCTTTTCTTGCTCGTCCGGCCCGGCCGGCGGCACTGCGGCCGGCATCGCCCCGCCGACCGTCTCGAGCTCTGCCTCCGAGTCCGAGTCCGTCGCGAACTGCGCCTTCTTGACGAGCAGCAAGCGAAGTAGCGCGTACGCCGGCGGCGAGGACGCGGCGGCCGCCGGTGCCGGCGTGGCGCCGAGCTGTGCCGCGGCTGCAGGCACCGCAGGCACCACGAGCCGGACCGCTCGGTCTTCCCGCGCCGAGCAGAGGAGGACCTAATCCCATACCTCCACAGTATCAAATCCCGTGTGGGTTCCCTCCCATGGGTGGTGCGGTAGCAGAGGGTGACCGCTGGGTCGGCGTCCGTTGCGCCGCGCGGCGGCGCGGCGCGGCAGAGCACCGGGTGGAGCGGCGTCGCGAGCGGCAGAGCGAGGTGGGAGCGCATCGCCTCGGCCGCCCGCTGCAGCCGGCCGAGCTGCCGCTCCGGAGGGAGCCCCTTGGCTGCTAGCTCCGCCCGCAGCCCCGGCGCGCAGGAGGGCGGGAAGGGGCGAGGAGGCGCCTTCTCCTTCTTGCGCGCGCGCCGCCGCTTTGCCGCGACGGATGCCGCTTGCTCGGCCGGCGCGCCCGAGGATGCCGCCGGCTTCGCTCCTTGACCGCCGGTGCCCGGCCCCGCCGCTTGACCGCAGATGCCCCCGTCTCCACTGGCGCCGTCGGCTCTGCAGGAGGGAGGTGCGATCTCCCCATATCTCCCCATATCTCCGGCGGAGGGAACGGCGGGCGAGCCGGCGGGAACCGGACACCCGGCCTCGGCGGCGTTCGCAGCGGCGGCGGTGGTGGCGGCGCTGGCGGTGGCGGCGGTGGCGGTGGTGGCGGCGGTGGCGCTGGCGGCGTTGGCGGCGTTGGCGGCGTTGGCGGCGTTGGCGGCGGCTGCGGCTGCGGCTGTGGCTGTGGCTGTGGCGGCGGCGGCAGCTGCCGCGGTCGCGGCTACAGTGGCGGTGGCGCCGCCGGTGCCTTTGCTCCATCGCGCGCCTGGCCGCGGGTGCGGTCTCGGGTGTGGCGCTTGGGCGGGCGCAGCCACGGCTGGTGCTTGGGCGGGCGCAGCCACGGCTGGTGCGGCCGGGGGGGGCGCCTCCGCTGTGCCTCCGGCCACGCCGCTCGGCGCTCCTCCGCCCTCTCCTCCGCCCTCTCCTCCGCTCGCTCCTCCGCCCTCTCCTCCGCCCTCTCCTCCGCCCTCTCCTCCGCCCTCTCCTCCGCCCTCTCCTCCCTCCTCGCACGGCGCCGCTGCCCGCGCGTCGCGCTCCGCCGACGGCGCCAGCGCGCCCTCCTCGCTGCTGTCGCTGCCCCTGTCGCTGCCCCTGTCGCTACCCTCGCCGCCCGCTTCCGGCGCGGCGGGTGCCGGGAGGAGACCCTCTCGCACGAGCATCTCGCGCCACCTCAGCTCTGCGGCGGAAGGCCCCGCCGCAGCCTCGCCGCCGCCGCCGCCGCCGCCGCCGCCGCCGCCGCCGCCGCCGCCGCCGCCCTCGGAAGCGGGGCCGGCGGCGGGCGGATGTGAGCGCGGCGGCGGGGGCGGCTCGTCGAGAGGGGGAAGCTCGATCAGCTCGGAGAGGGAGAGAGGCATGGCCTTGCGCCACTCGAAGTCCTGCGCCGCCTATCGGACATGTCGTGGACGTGTCTCGGACATGTCGTGGACGTGTCTCGGACATGTCGTGGACGTGTCGTGGGCGTGTCGTGGGCGTGTCGTGGACGTGTGCTGGACATGTCTCCCCTCGGAGCCCTGCGCCGCCTCGGGGTGGAGGTGCGATCTCCCCCTATCTCCCCCTATCTCCCCCTATCTCCGCGCCTCGGGGTGGAGGTGCGATCTCCCCATATCTCCCCATATCTCCCCATATCTCCCCATATCTCCCCCTATCTCCGCGCCTCGGGGTGGAGGTGCGATCTCCCCATATCTCCCCATATCTCCCCATATCTCCCCATATCTCCGCGCCTCGGGGTGGAGGTGCGATCTCCCCATATCTCCCCATATCTCCCCCTATCTCCGCGCCTCGGGGTGGAGGTGCGATCTCCCCATATCTCCCCATATCTCCCCATATCTCCGCGCCTCGGGGTGGAGGTGCGATCTCCCCATATCTCCCCAGATCTCCCCCTATCTCCGCGCCTCGGGGTGGAGGTGCGATCTCCCCATATCTCCCCATATCTCCCCATATCTCCCCCTATCTCCGCGCCTCGGGGTGGAGGTGCGATCTCCCCATATCTCCCCATATCTCCCCATATCTCCCCCTATCTCCCCGTATCTCCGCGCCTCGGGGTGGAGGTGCGATCTCCCCATATCTCCCCATATCTCCCCTATCTCCGCGCCTCGGGGTGGAGGTGCGATCTCCCCCTATCTCCCCATATCTCCCCCTATCTCCGCGCCTCGGGGTGGAGGTGCGATCTCCCCCTATCTCCCCCTATCTCCCCCTATCTCCGCGCCTCGGGGTGGAGGTGCGATCTCCCCA